CTAGAGCCTTGGAGTTGGGCAAATCACCAACTCTTTTAGCCGGTGTAAATCATCTCGGCTAAAACACTTGGGTTGGGCAGATCACCAACTCTTGCAGCCGGGGTAAATCATCTCGGCTAGAACACTTGAGTATGCCCCTTAGTCATTATATTGCAGTCAGGGTAAATCATCTCAACTAAAACACTTGAGTTGGGTAGATCACCAACTCTTGCAGCCGGGGTAAATCATCTCAGCTAAAACACTTGAGTTGGGCAAATCACCAACTCTTGCAGCCGGGGTAAATCATCTCAGCTAAAACACTTGAGTATGCCCCTCAGTCATTATATTGCTTCAATCATAACAAACCTCTTCAGCAAAAATAATTCGCTTCTATGACATTGGCAAAAAGAGTATTATATTCAGAAATGAGGGAGAACAAATCTTTCCATAAAAAATTACATAAGAACGATAAATACTAAAAATAGTACAGTTTGAGGTTGGCTACATTCCATGGCCGAGGTACGCTTCTGCCATCCAAATTTTCTAAGTGGTATGCCTTCTTACCCGCTAGACCGGTTATCTTGTAAGGCCCTTCCCAGTTTGCCCCTGGTTTGCTTTCGCCCAGCACCAGTGTGTTGCCCATGACCTTCCTTAACACCCAGTCGCCCACTTTAAACAATCTGGGGTGCACTGTTTTGTTGTATTTCCGGGTCAATTCTTGTTAGTATGCGGCCATGTGGATCAAAGCTTTTTCTCGGCGCTCGTCAGCTAGGTCCAATTCCAGGGCGACTGCTTCAGAGTTTATCTCGGGCTCAAAATTTTCACTATGGATGGTGGGCATGCCGATTTCCAATGGGATGACCACCTCCATGCCGTATGCCAGGGCAAAAGGAGTTTCCTCGGTAGATCGCCTCGGGGTCGTCCGATATGCCCAAAGGACACTTGGGAGTTCCTTGACCCATTTTCCTTTGGCTTTCTCAAGTCTTTTCTTCAACCCATCAAGAATGGTCTTATTTGATGCTTCGGCTTAGCCGTTGGACTGCGGGTAAGTCGAAGTGGAGTTGTAGAATTCGACCTTCAATTCCTCATAAAATTCTCTAAATAAGCGCCCGTCAAATTGGGTGTCATTATCAGAAATCAGAATCTTAGGGACACCAAACCGCATTACCACATTCTGCCAGACAAACCGTTTGACGTCTTTCTCCTTGATAGTCGCCAAGGGCTCAACTTCAACCCATTTGGTGAAGTAATCCGTAGCCGCAATGAAGAACTTCCGGTTGCCCGGAGCCTTGGGAGTGGTCCCACTATGTCCAGCCCCCACATCGCAAAAGGCCAAGGGCTTGTGAGGGGAAGAAGTTCTCTGGCCGGCTGATGAATTTGGTGGGCGAACTTCTGGCACTTCTCACATTTTCTAACATATTTCTGAGCGTTCGCTTGCATGCGTGGCCACCAATATCCTTGCGAGATAGCTCAGTAGGCCAAAGATCTTCCCCCGATGTAACTTACGCATAAGCCTTCATGAATCTCGTACAGGAAAGCCTCCATGCTATTTGGGTGTACACACTTGAGGTAAGGACCGGTGAATGACTTCTTGTATAAAGCGCCAGGTGGAGAGAGCCAAAACTGTTCTGACTTCACCTAGACTTTATGCGCTTCCTTTTTATCGACCGAAAGGGTCCGTTCTTTCAAGAAAAGGATAATAGGGTCCATCAAAGAAGGGCCAAACTCGACTCAAAGTACTTCTGTCTACTCGGGTTCCTCAATACTAGGCCTTGGAAGAAACTCAATCAGGAGAGGACTGGGAGATATTCTGTTGACCATGGAAGCCAGACCGGCTAACTAATCCGCACGGCCGTTTTCTTCCCGACCAATTTGTTGGACCCTTATCGTTTGGAATCGCTTGATGTGTTCTCTTACCAGAGCTTGGTACTTTGCCATTCTATCATCTTTGGCTTCGTAAACCCTAGACACTTGGTTGACAACAAGTTGGGAGTCGCTGTAAACCATCAGTTCGGATGCGTGCAACTGGAGCGCGCTCTTAAGCCCAGCCAGCAGTGCCTCGTACTCAGCCTCATTATTTGACGCAGGAAAGCCGAGTGTGATAAAGTGTTCGATGGTCAGACCATTTGGCGAGATCAAAACTACACCCAACCCAGCGCCATGACGATTTGAGGCGCCATCTACAAAAAGTTTTCACATTTCACCGACAAAGAGTTTCCAACACTCTGAGGGGTCCTGGGAGGCTTGAAAACAGATGGGATCATAGTCGCTCGGTTGTTCGCCTTCAGGTTCGCTTCTGTTCGGTACCACTTCATCCCCCATTGGCGATGTGACATTGGACCCTATAAGTTGGTCTGTTATTCCCAAGTCCACCGCCGCATTGCCGGGCTACAGTACCATTCCGACTAGAGGTTCTACAGACGGGCGCACAAATTTTGCGTCACCCACATCGCCTGGTTGTGCAATTTCCATTGAGCCTTCGCTCGCCATTTCGGCTGCCGCAGTGAGATCCACCGGGCATACTTGGTGAATTCCAAGCGAGAACTCAACAACAAAATCTACCAATGCTTATGCTTTTATGGCCGTTCGAGGTTCAAAATTGATGTCGAATTGTCTCAATTCAATTTCCTACTTCAGAATTCGACCTGAGAATAATGGTTTCAAACTTGGACCGGATCAGCCGGTCGAACCGGTTGGACCGGGAACCGGGCCTTGTTCCGGTCCGGTCAACCCCTTAAACCCGGAGTGGCGCCAAAACCGAGAAAAAGCGGTGACCCAGTGGTCGAATCGGTGACCCAGATCGGTTCGGGAGGGTCAGACCGGTCTCTCTTTTTTTTTCAATTTTACTTTTTTTTTTCTTTCTTTCTTATATATAAATATATTTTAAAATTTTGACTAAAAATTATTATTTCAAGAGCCTCCTCTCATAAAGAAGAGTCTTATTGAAAGCTTGAGAAGATTATGAAAGTCTATTCTTATTTATAGGAAAAGATTTTTCAAAGAGAACCTACAAAATTTTATATGGGATTCAATCAAATTATTTGAAACATATTGATTGGAGGGAGAGTTGAAAATTTAATTTCCCTCCAAAATTAAATATAGCATTCAATCAATTTATTTGGAGGGAATGTTTAAAAATTTTAATTTCTTTAAAATAAGTGACTTTTTTTAATCAATTATGACTTTATTAAATATTATTAATAAATACTATGCAACAATTTTTTATTTTTATTTGATTATTTATATATATTTTTATTTATTTATAATTTATAATTATATTTTTTAATTATATAATATTAATTATGACGTCACGGTTCGACCGCTTTGACCCGACGGTTGAACCGGTGACTTGTCCACCCGATCCCTTTTCCGGTTCGCTCACCGGTCCGGTTTTGAAAACATTGCCTGAGAAATCCGTCCGCTCAAACAAGGCTTGCATGGGGAATTCGGTCAACACGACGATTGTGTGAGCATGAAAGTAGTGCGCCAATTTCCTGGAGGCCATCATCAACGCCAAAGCGAGTTTTTCCAGCGGCAAGTACCTCGACTCTGCCGGTAGCAAGGTTTTGCTTACGTAAAAGATAGGGAAATGCTGGATACCTTATGACCGGACAAACACCGCACTAACTGCATGTTGAGAAACTGCCAGATAAAGGTAGAGTTCTTCGCCGGGCTTGGGTGTCACCAATAATGGGGCAGAAGACAAATATGCGTTAAGCTCAGCCAAAGCCCTATCACATTCGTCGTCCTATGAAAACTTGGACTTCAAGGCTCGAAAGAAAGGGCGGCAGCGATCTGATGACCGGTTTATGAATCGATTAAGCACGGCGGCCATACCGGCCAGATGCTGCACGTCCGTCGCTGAGTTGGGCTGCTTCAATTCCTGTATGGCTTTGATTTGGGTGGGGTCCGCCTCGATGCCTCGGTTTGTGACTAGGAAGCCTAGGAATTTCCTAGATCCCACGCCGAAGGCACACTTTGACGCATTCAGGCGTAGCTTATGCTGTTTGAGAATGGCGAACATCTCGGCTAGGTCAGATAAGTGGTCAGCCTGATGCCTGCTTTTGACCACCATAGCGTCGATGTAAGCCTCTATCGTCTGGCCTAGCAGAGGAGCAAACATTTTGGTCACCATCCTTTGGAAAGTCGCCCCAACGTTCTTCAAACCAAAAGGCATGACTCGATAGCAGAATAGTCCCCTCGGGGTAGTGAAAGAGGTTATCTCGCGGTCGGGACCATGCATGGTGATCTAGTGATAACCGCGGTAGGCATCCAAGAAACTGAGCCTGTTATGTCCAGCCGTAAGGTCCTCCAGCTGGTCTACTCTGAGCAGAGGAAAGCTGTCTTTAGGGCAAGCTCGGTTGACAGTCTTGTAATCAACGCAAACTCGCCTTCTCATTCTTCTTGGGCACTACGACCGTGTTAGAAACCCACCGAGGGTAATGCACTTCCTGGATAGCCCTTGCTTCTAGCAGATTCCTTACTTCCTCCGCGACTACCTCGGCGTGATGGAGAGCCGATCTCCTCGTTCTTTGAATGACAGGGCATGCATCCGGGAAAACATTAAGTTGGTGGCAAATAAAACTTGGATCAACGCTAGGCATGTCGTATGGCGTCCATGCAAAGACTTCGATATTCGCCATCAAGAATTCTACCATCTCGGTCCTTTCTTGGGCGGTAAGGCTTGACCCTAGCAAAAAAAACTTGTTAAGGCTTTCTGTGTCGATCCGTACTTCCACCAATTCCTCAACAGCCTTTTCCTCGGCCCTGGTACCCACGTCATCAAGGACGCTTTGGTCTTCTGGACCTTCGATCATTTGAACGAAGCCTTTGGCAGCTCGGCTCCCGTTCACCGCCACGAAACACTACTTCGACATAACTTGATCACTCTAAATCTCCTCAACTTCCCCCGTAGCCGAGGAGAACCTCATAACCTGGTGGTAGGTTGACACTACCGCCTGCATAGCATGAAGCCATCCCCTATCAAGGATCAGATTGTACGTGGACGGCACCTTTAATACCTAGAACTCCACTTGCTTGACCACAGATCTGGCTTTGACTAACAAGATTATCTTTCCCATAGGCCACTCCGGCTGTAAGTTGAAACCAACTAGTGGTGAAGTTGTCAGAGCCAAGTCTGTGTCCCGGAGTTTGAGTTGCTTAAACGCGTCGTAGTACATAATCTCAACCGAGCTTCCTTGGCCAATCAAAATGCGCTTGACATCGAAGTCCCTGATGCGGAGGGTGACAACTAGGGCGTCGTTGTGCAGCGTTTGAATGCGCTCTAGGTCCCTAGTTGAGAAACTAATCACATGTTTCTCCTCGGTCTTCCCCCTTTTGATCGCGGGTTGGACTGACAAAATTTCTCTCATATGTTCCGCTTTTTTTATCATTCCTCGGAGCTCGCATACATGCGCCAGCTCCACTATGCCGTGGATCACATTGACCACTCCTTAAGGGGGCGCCTTTAAGTCATCCGAACAACTCGAATTGACCGAGGTGGGATGCGCGGCTTTAACGCCCCCATCAATGTAAAGGTCTAAGTGACCGACTGCAACTAACTCCTCCAAGTGTTGCTTCAAAGGCAAACAGTCCTCTGTTCGGTGTCCTCGCTCCCTATGATATGTGCAGCGGTACCGCGGATTAAAGCCTTTTTGCACATCGCCTTACTTAGCAGGAAACTGGACGTAATCCTTGTCGCGGATTTCACTAAGTATGCGATAGATTGGAATCTTAAATACCGCGGTGATGCCCGTCCGAGCGTTCAACCTTCTGTTAGCATCAGCTGCGTCGTCGCGGGGATATTCTGCTCGATCATTGCCGCGACCTCTACCCCGGTTTCGATGATTTGATCCACGGTCAGATTTCCCGGTGCGATCATTTAGACGGTTAGTCTCCTGTCCGACCGTGTGTACCTTACCAGTCGCCCTTTTTTCTGTTGCCACCAGAGTTGTTTTCTCGGTGGACGCCGCCGCATCATTCTCTACTCGAATGTGCTCATTGATGCGTTGCATTAGTTTCCTCATGGACATCGGCTGGTTCATTGTAAGCGAGTCTCTCAGCCTATGTCCGATCGGGAGACCGCGCTTATATTGGGTGATTGCTAGGTTGATCGGGCAATCTAGGATCTCATTGAAGGTTTCCCAGTACCTGGAGTTATATGCCTTGAGGGTGTCACTCGACTTCATCTTGACACTAAAAAGGTGGTCTACTTTCTTTGGCGTTTTGGTGTTGGTTTTAAAACGAGTCACGAATGCTTCCGCCAACTACTATCACCTTTCGATGCTCTCATCCAGTAGCCTCTCGAACCATTTCAAGCCCAACTCACCTAAACTCGATTGGAAAATAAGGCACATAAGAGCATCATTATGCCTGTGTCCGGCCATGACTTGCCGAAAATGGCTTACACGCATGTACGGATCGGTTTTTCCGTCATAAAGCGTAAACTTGGGCTGGTGAAAGCCCGCTGGGAGCGGTGTGGTTTCTATCTTAAGGAAGAAGGGGGTGGCATTCAGTCTCGCCAAATCTGTGTCTAAAGGGACAGGCACGGCTGAGCGCGACGGTGGCATTATGACCTCCTTACTGGCGTGACCCCCGTAAGATAACCGCTAGAGCGTCGGCACCCTTTGATCCTCTCGTCAGCGAGCCCGTTCTTTCAAGACAACCCGCAAGTTCTCCTAACGGACGGAGTAGGAATATCTCGATGTCATCACCGGACGTGAGGGATGGTAGGTACTATCTTGCGCGCTAGACTGCTCTACAGGCGTGTCGGAGTCTCCAACCTTATAGCTTCTGGTGATAGAAATGGAGGGCGTGTGCCGTTGGCTCTGGCTGTCTGAGCGGCGTGGTTGGGTGCGCTCACTGTGGTCTCCCACTCCAGCAACACCCTTTCCTTTGACCTGCCGTTTGAGAGCCTCCATCTCTGCCGCCATTCTCCGGATGAGAGTGTCTTGGTCTCTTAACTTGTGCTCCAGACGTCTAGCGTGCGATTCTCTTCGCCGTCGGTGTCCATCTGGGCTTCGTGAGTGACCAAAACTTCGAGCGTGCTTATCCCGCGCATCTCTTGGGAGTCCTCCTGGGGAAGTCTCCAGGCCCGCCATGTTCTGAACGGGGGGGAGTCCGTCTCTCTGTCTAGCTGACTTCGGGGTAACACCGTCAATGGCAGACAACGATATTTCGTCGTTGTTCGCCATAGAAGGCAATCAGACGAGCTTGGAGGACAGAGTTATGTCTGCAAAAGGTTTTCCACAGACGGCTCCAATTATATGGGGAGGAAATACTCGCCGCTGTCTGTACTCCTTTCGTCCAAGCTATTCCGACCAACCTACAAGCACAATGGCGGTGAGCTACTCGGCGGTGTGTTGTCGGAAAACCCTCCGACGGTCAAGTTAGCATACACTCAGAAAGAGAGAGAGAGAGAGAGCTGAATGAATGTAGAGTTTTTCTCACCAAATGATATTCCATCCCCAGCATGGGGGGCGCAGTCATACTTATATACTTTCTACGCTCACCTCTGCATCCATTCGCTTATTGGCACGTGAAGCTTTTCTCCCATCCGTCAGCGCAAATCCAGCTAAACACCACCTACTCAAACCGCCAGACAACATTACCAGGAACGGGGTAGCCCGGCAGTGTCACCTCGGACTCATATGACCAGGCTACGTAACGAGTCCGACGGCACCACTCGCCGAGCTCCACCACAACCGAGCTTAGTAACATTCCGATACGACTGAGCTCAAGACAGGTTAAGCCGGTCTTCAGAAGGCCTCTCTCACCGAGCTAAATGCACAAACCGTGAAACTAGGATCAGCAGACAATCACCCCGGCCAAGTTAGCTCGACCCAAACATGGGCCTGGGAACCGGCCGAGCAAACCAACCCTGGACTAGCCCAAGTTAGCTCAGCCCAACGTGGGACCTGGGCCTCGACCGAGCAAACCAACTCTGGACAAGCCCACATTAGCTCGGCCCAAACATGCTCGGACCTCTCTCTGCTCGGCTTCTACCACGGCCCAAAGCCACATTATAAATCTCCCTCTCAATTATAGTTTGAAAATCACACAAATAAATAGATAGATAACTATAAAACAAAAAGCCTTACAGCTAGCCATACAACAGCTTGAGGATTTATTAGCATAACTGTAGAATTAATTAAATAATTCTCAGCCCAACTTAAAAATAGTGGTAAACCACTAACTCACCCTAAAAAATAGTATCAGAGCAGTGTTCGGTTTTAGGAAAGTTTAAGTTTTTTTTAGTTAGTCTATGCATTTTGCTTACGAAAATAGAGTAGTTTTTATTTTTGGACAATTCAGTTATAAATTTCATATTATAGTAGCTTTTAATAATTTTAAAGTAGGGTTTAATTTTGTATATAAAAAGAGTATAATATTTAGATTTAGAATTCAGCAATCATAACCATCGTCTTAATATAGATAAAAATAAATTTCGTTGTAATTTTGAAGGTACTTTTACACATAACTCCATAGCGAACATGATTCTCAGCTAAATAGTATTGTAAATCATTAGATTAATTTTCCAAAAAATATTAAAAAGGAAGTAGATAAAATCAGTAATCTTTTTACTTCGTCTATAGACCATCTTCGTAATACTCGCAGTATAATTAAAAATCAAGATAAAAAATTATATTATATCCAAGATTAGTGTAGTTCAATCTTACAAAAACGAATAGATTTAAATTTAGAAAAATTCTCCACCAAGCTAGAAATAGAAACTCTAATTTCAGCCATAAATATTAGTAGCTCGAAGCAAATAGAGTTAGAATTTAAGCAATTAATTGAAAAAATTCGTAATCAGATAAATCAAATAGTTAGACAAATAGAACAGATCAACCAAATTCAAGACAATTTAAAACAGAAATTAGAAATTTTAGAACAACTAATAAAATCTTAATTTATGAGTAGCGATAAAAAAAATTAATAGAGACTATTAAATTATTTTAAAACAAGCAGAAGACATTCATAATAACCCAGAGGGAATTAGTAGCTATCAAGGAATAAATCAGTCAGATAAAATATTTATATGACAAAACAATATAGAAATTTTATTTCTTATCTGATTATGTGAAAAAATTGAAAAATTATCAGAACAACTACACAGTTTAGAAAATCATTTAGCTTCGTTAGAAAGATTAATACTTCAAAAAGGGAAAGGAGTAAAAGGACAAGCAAGAAAAGCCCAATCTCGAATAAACAAAGAAGATGTAACTAAAAATTTTGAAAAGCTTAAATTATCAAAGAAACCTGCCTGTAGAACTTATAGAAAATAAAATATTTAAACAGTTAGTAAAAGAAAGTAGCAGTAAAAAGCATAATGAGGATGAAAATGTTAAAGTAGAAAAATTTATAAATGTAGAACAGCAAATAGAAAAATTTAAAAAGGAAAAACTAGAATTAATTCTAGCTAAATATGTATATAAGTTATGAAAAATTCATAAAAAAATAATATTTATTTAAACACTATAGTGAACAAATTATTAGTGTAACTCAAGAATATGAAAAAATAGAGCTAAATTTAATAAATAGATAAAGTTATAAATATGCTGTAAATGAACACCTCAAAAGGACTCACTTAGAATTAGTTAAGGCTTTAACTAGAGAAAATTTAGGAGCTAAAGTTTTTGTATGTCTTTATGATGATAGGTTTAATGATGTAGGACAAAGTATTTTAGGCAGCTATGAATTATATATGAATTCAAAAGGAGGGATAATTTATTTTACACTGGATTTCCTTTTACTGACTTCGACCTTCATAAAAAGATAAAAATAGGAATAAAATGTAGAGGATATAAAATGAAAAAAGGAGAAAAAATTTTATTAGTTTGCACATAATTTTTAGGCTTAGCGGTCTTAGAAAACAATACCCATTATAGACTTACAAATAATCAAATAGTTAAGATATTAGGCACAAAAGGAATAAAGGCACTACCAGCTAAAAAATATAATTCTAAAGATAATGTAGCACTAGATTGGAATTTAGGAGATTTTCTAGGACAAAAGAGGTTAGTCCCTCAAGATAATTTATTATATCAAAAAGCAGATGGAAGTTATACAATAAGATTTACTAAATACACATATGTAGCACCAGAAAAATTCGAAGATGATGAATTTAGTAATGTAGATAGAGAAGAAAGCCAAGATAATTATAGTGACATAAATCAACTTTATATAATGACAGAGGAAAAAACAATATCACAAAATAAGATATCTAATATTGATGAGATAGATTTGGAAAATTTCACCCTAAGTGATATGAATAAAATATTAGATACCAGACACTATGAATATATAGCTAGGGGAGATACCCATGATGAAGCAGTATCATTTTTAGGTCAAGAATTTCATACCGAATATG